TTCGTAGTTAATACTGAAACGTATTCAAAACACTACCTTTACATGTATTTTCCGTAAGCCGTTGTTAAGTTATTTACTCTCAAAGTTTATGTGTCGCCGGCATTAGCGTTGCCGAATGTAAGTAAGTACATCATTGTGGCTCTAAAAAGAACCGATATTGTGTGTATGTGTACGTAGTGTGTACTTCCAAATAGTGTGATCTAACATGATGGACATTGTAAGGTAGCTATCCTTCAACCTGTCCTCCATTATTAAGAATACATTTCTGTAACTTATGTTGGAATTGCTTTTCTACCTTCTTTAACGTTTTAGGTGTTATTTTTGTACAAGCACTACTTATTCGTTGACGTAATTTCATTACACTTTCAATTGGAGTGCGATAAACTATTTGTTTTAAGTACACCCACCGAAAGGAATCGTACGACAAAAAATCTGGCAATTTCGGTGGCCATGATACCAGCCTGTCATGTCCAATTCACTTATTTTAGGGAAAATAGCCGGCTGCATGAGATATTTTTTGTTTGAATTAGTCGATCCGCAAAATATTAATGATTTGGTTAACACATCCGAGATGAATGGTGATTTTGGTGTTGGACTTCGTCGAACTAATTGTAAGTAACAATGCTCTCAAAACCCAACCTAACGGCCAAATGTTCATAAGGCTGAACTTTTAAAACCGTTCGTTTCCGTGAAAAATAACCCTCATTTTCGGCTTTAGCGACTTAAAATGCCCCCCAAAAGACACATCCAGATAAAAAATTTTGTAGTTCGGATATTATACTACATATATTAAAAAGAAATTAGAAGTATACAGTTATATTTTTCTTTTTCTTGTAAAGTTTCATTACAATCAATATACAAGGTGGAACACGTAAATAGGTACACCTAAATGTCTCTGTTGTTTATAGATATATGAAAAACAGGTTAGGGCAAAATTAAGCTGATGAAAGAGATAAACAAAATAATTTACAAAAATTTTTTCAGTTATCTTTTAAAAATTTCAAGATCATCGGTGTTCTTTTAACTGACATGATATATTTTATTTTCTATATCCTTACAAAGTACAAATAAAAAAATTCAATAATCTTAGTAACGTACCATTTCAATCATTTAATCTCAAGATATTTTCATCTGAAAGTAATAAATATCTTTTGTAGTTACCAGATACACTATACAAATCTTACTTTGTCGCACTGTACTTTTGTACATGATGAAGAAAAAAAATATTTAGTTGTATATAATATTGCGACATCATGTCTAGTTAACAATAGTATAAATTTTATTTATATAATATGTAATGTTTGCTTTTTAATGAAACAATGTCTGATTTTGAAGTTACAATAATATTCTGTCACCTTAAAATATAAAAACTTATGTAAGCTATTACAATACTTAATTCGAATGAAAGATATGTTTATAAACATTTTAATCTGTACATACAGTCTCAAGCCTCGAAACATCAATTGTGTTTCGGTATTCAGTAAATGCACTTGCAATAATGGGGCGTAAAAGTAATACTTCGTACAAAATATGCCAACTTGTCATTTTTCACAACACAAAAAGAAAATCGTATATGTATATAGAAAAATTACTGCCATGTTTAACCCTAGAACTACTGACAAAAAGACGAAGCTATTTCTACCAAAACCAGTCAAAATGACTGGTCTTCAAAAAAATACGTAATAATAGAATGTGTTTATATTTACTGACTTATTAGTTTCTTACAAAAGAAATTCCATGTTATGTAGTACATTTTTGGTTTTATTATCCCATTTGGGACCATGATTCCTAAATGAGGATTGATAGTTTTACATTTTCAGCTGTATTTTCAGTGGCAAGTTCATCTGCTAGTTGAAACATAAAATCTTTTCTGGATATCTTTTCACCTGTTGTTTCCTTAACTTAAAATGTTAAAAAATACTTGAAATAGCCATCTTCTTGATCCTGATTTGATGCTACATTTCTTTGCCATTTGGTCTGCATTGTCTACACCAAATCTAGTCTTATTATAAAATTCAACTGTTTCAGATAAGCGCTTGTTACTTTTATCAATTTTGATGAATTTATGTTTCGAACTCAATAAAAAAACTTTTTCCTTTTGAAAACGTTTTTCCTTTTCACCTATTTGATTTATAAAGTAATGATGAAAAACGAGCCATATTATCCTTCTTTAGTTCCCTTTTTTCCGCGTATAGTGCCAACCAATGTTTTTTTTTTTTTTTTCTATAATAATTTAGATGCCAACGGTAAGCTTGTAAAAAAGTTATCAGTTGTTATGATTCTTTCCTTCATAGTAAACGGTTCGATAAGTTTGAGTACGACAAATTCACTTAGAGGTTGTGAAAACGTGTGAGAAGTTGTACAAATCATTTTGACTGGTACTGATATAAGTAGCCATGATACAAAATTATTTTGATTCTGAATGAAACAAAAAAATAAAATTTATAATACTCTTTCTTCATACTCATAATAGTCCTGGGGAGGGAGGGATCTCGAATCCACAATTTGAAAATTTTTAAGTTAGAATCATGTGCCTTCTGTAAAAAGGAAAATTATTTATTGTCGTATACTCATTTAAGTTTGATATTCAGATGTAACCGTGCTATATGTGAAAAATATTACGCATAAGAAAAAGAAAACGATACTACACGCTGCGGTATTGGCGATTACGCAAAGCGGACCATTATGCTCTTCTTATCTCCAAAAAATAACAAACTATCATAGAACGAAGAATCAAATTAACTAATCGGAAAGGAACGATGCAGCATTTAATCAAGCATTTGATGATCATGGTACTATTACTAAACTATTTTCTTCTATAAATACATATAACTAAAAATAAATTCAATGTAAAAACATATGCTATCTTTCTTACGAAGTACAACATATTCAAATGTTATAAAAATTTCTTCAAAAAACAATTTTTTTCAAGATAAATATGTAAGAAGCATGGGTTCAAGGAACCCCTCCTTAGGCTTTCGCATGATGGTTCCAGGCTCAGAAGTTTTAGAGTTAATATATGTAAGTAAAAGTACAGTACGAGACATTAAAAATTTTAACGCAAAGATTGCACAGAGTTTATATCATAAAAGGGACAACCAAAGAAATTAGACATGTGTGATGAAAGTACAATTATTAGAAAAATAAAGAAAAATCCTACATTAAGTGCATCAAAATTAACAACTGTATTTTTAGAAGTGGGAAGAAAATGAATTTTCAAACAATATGCAGGATATTAAAAGAAGGTGGTTATAGTGGGCATATTATAGTGGTTATTGCAAAGTTGCTCTGGAAAAGCCATATATGAATGAAAAGAATAGAGAGAAAAGATTAAATTTTGCACGAGTTTATTTTAAAAGATGGTACATGGTGGAATGACGTTATCTTTAGTGATGAAAGTAAATTTAACATTTTTGGGTCAGATGGTCAAAGAATGGCATGGCAAAAGAAAAATGAAGAGTTTAAAATTAAAAACACAAAGCCGACTATAAAGCACAGGTATATCTCAATATTTGGGACTGGTAAATTAGTTATGTTTGATAGTATAATGAATAAGAATGTTTATCTTAATATTTTAAAAAGTGATTTACTGAAAAGTGTAAAAAAAAATGAGAATTAAAACTACATTTAAGTATTATCAGGACAGATCCAAAACATGAAGTACAGATTATGCAGGAATATTTACTCTACCATTAACCAAAGTTATTACAGCCATCTCTACAATTATAAAACTTAAATCCTACTGAGAATTTATGGAATAAACTAGACCGAAGAATTAGGAAAACTCTAATAACTTCTAAAGAAATTTTGAAACAACGACTGAAAGAAGAATGGAACACTATAAACACAGAATATTTCAAACAAATAATTTCCAACATACCTCTTCATGTTTGAAAGAGGTTATTCAACAAGAAGGATATCCTACAAAATATTAAAACAATCTTTGCTATAGTAAGTGTCAGAATATGAACGTAATATTAAAATCAGACATTGTTTTGTTTTAAATAGATAATGTAATAAAAGTTATGAATTATATAAATAATGTTGGTATTTTTGTTAACTGAACCTTACGTAAGAATGTAGTATACAATAAAATAATTTTTTCCTTATCGTGAATAAAATTGTGGCACAACAAAGTAAAAATTGTACAGTTTTAGAATATTAAAATTACTCACTGTATCGACTCCTGAAATGTAAACATCACCTCATGTTATTTATTTTTATTAATATTATTGAATGTAGAATGGTAGAAACTGTATTGTTAGACCCAATAATTGTTCATTCTTTCTTCACTGTTATTAACAATAAATATGTAGAAATTTAGTAGTGTCAAAGTACATTAAAGAGTGCAAAAAGAAGTAGATATTGTTCACATTTACTGTTAAAGCCAACAATGTTTATGGCAAACTGAAAATTTATATACAGAAACGTTTCCATTTCATACTTGTCCATCACTTCATGCAGTTTCAAAGATTTATAAAACAATTCAGAGGAACTGCTAGTGTACATGTTAAAAAACGAAATAAAATAAAGGCCTTTATAAATGAACAAAATACAGTTGCCATAGTATCTGTAGGAAATAGAAAAAATTTACAAAACATTTATCAAAAGAGTTTAATTATGCATTGCAACCAATGGACATCACTATTGTTTATACCATTATTTTCAGATGAAAATATTTCAAAATTAAATAATTGGGATAGTACATTATTAAGGTTGTTGAATTTGCTTTTTTATGGATATAGAAAAAAAAACAATACTTGAAAAATTT